TACTCTATTTCACTTCATAATATCATTATATAAACGATAAGACAATAAAAAACAAAAATGAAAGACATCAATAGATCATCATCATTATTTCCAAGTATGGATTCATTTCAGTACTATATTCCATTGACATCAACACCAAAACGTTTAAATAAATCTCATTATTCACAACCATTATCATCAACTTTATCCATATCAAATAATTCTTTGAAAAAACTTGATTTATCAATATCAGCAATAACTATAATTAAAAAATCGTCGTTACATAATAAAAAACGACATCGATGCTATCATCGACGAAGAAATCCTATACATTCATCAACAATTATTAAACATATTGAACTCAAAGATTTATTATATTCAACTCGAGCAATGAAAAAACAACAAGAATATAAACAACGTCATTATACAAAGAATGAAATGAAAATTTATCTTGTATAATTAACATTAATATTATCGATTTTATGATTATTTTTTTCTATATACATTTATCCCGTTGTGTTTTTTTTTTCGAATAAAGAACTTAAATTAAAATTCCTCATATTCTTAAAACCAGAAGGTTTCCACAAGAAACTATAGAAGTTCACTAGGAGGTTTTTCGATTTGAAGGAAATCTGAAATACAATCAAATCTCAAATGAAATCATACTTTAGTCGTTGTATTTTCTTTTCTGTACATTCAAGTTTGTACGCTCTTTTTCATATGTGCATTAAATACACCGAAATCTAATACATATGTCAAATGTGAATGTTGAATTCAGTTACTCAAAAAACCCAAGAAAAATTTTGCCCGTGTAACTGACCAACTATATCTGCGTTGCGGTATGAAGACACGTAGTGCTCGCCGAAGAACTGTGACCCATCATTGTCTCCGTTTACATAATAAAGTCTATTTTTATTTTATGCTTTGATGGTACTGACAAAGAACGTATAAAAAGGACGTACAGATTTCGACGTAAATCTAAATGAACCAAATGATGAGGGATTTTTTTTTGATTGTTTCCGATGGAAACGATAAACTGGATCGACTCACTTTTTTTCTCTTCGTCGAATCCTTATCGCTACGAGTCGCGATGAAGAGAAAACAGAAGACAGGCTCAGAAATAAAGAGATTTGATAATTCTAGTCCAATATTGATTAGAATCATTTTAGTTCTAAATATTTAGTAAATAACAACTGGATTATCAGAGTATCAATGCAAGGGGGAAACAGCGGACTTCAAGACTTCAAGCACAGAGACTTCAAATTTTCACAAGGCTTCGAAAAACTTCAAAAAGACTTCATGAGACTTCGCGAGACTTGAAAAGACTTCTGAGACTTCATGAGACTTCATGAGACTTCAAGACCGAAGTCTCCGCTGTTTCCTCCTCGTATCAATGGTAAATTTCCAAAACGTTTATGTAATTAATATCTTCATAGATAATCCATTAAGTTCAATAAAATTCTGTACTTCTTTGCTTATTTTAAATTTTACTCTTCTTTTATAGTTGCAAAAGTTATTTGAATCTATTGAACTGTTTTAGAGGAAGTTCACAATTGAGTTTCCAACGATTTGTACTATAATATGAACGTTATAAAAAATTCGATGTTAATAAAATATTTTGATTCTTCTTACAATAAATTCTATCGTTGACGAAACCGTGGTTTTCACTTCATTTCTATATCTCAATGTCTGAATATTTATCTTCATACGTTTTGCTTAATTACAATAAAATTATTTTTAATCTTTATCAATTATATATCACATGTGATAGATTATATTTCATGTTTTTTTATTGCTATTAGATGAGATGAGATGCATTTTCTGCTAAATTTTGTTGAGGACTTTCATAACTCATCTATATCAAGTATTAACTCTTTTCCTACGGTTAACTTGCTGTACTAGATACAGCAAAATATCAGAAATGATGTCCACAGAATAAATTCAAAAGTTATCGCGCATCATTCTTTTGAACGATATACTTAAATTTCACAATGAAATACGATATACATATTTGGAACGTGTTTTTTTGTTAAAAATCACAAAATACGTCATATTTCGCTGTGAAATCCACATCTATTTTTTTTATATTACATGCACGATTAATTTTCAGTCTGTTCAGTAGATATTATTTATGTGACTTCTTTTAAATATTGAAAAACTACAGAGTACTACTGCCCATTTCAAAAAAAAAAGGCGGGTGCGTATTCTTTGAATAACTTTTGATAGGACTAAGATAGAAAGCTGCAGTTTTCACCGTTGGAAAGAGGCGATGAAAATACATCGATTTGTGTATTTCAGACTTTTTTATGACAAGTATTTGAAAGGTTTTCTCACGAATTTTTTTTAAAAAATCAACGATTTTAGACGTGGAATAAAATTGATTTTTTATTAAAGACTAAGAAAAAAAAGCGATTTTTTCGCTAAAAATCGACCGAAAACACACAGTAACATGTTGAAAACTCATGATAGGCTAAAGATAATAATGTCGGATTTATATAGCTGATACAACTTTCGTTAGTGATTCTAGTGCCCTCCTGAAAATTAAAAGTCCATAATATTGACATGATGTAACGTTTTGTCTTTTGAAAACTTGTCGAGGAACCCTGAAAATGCTTGTCAGAAAAAATCTGAAATATAAAAATCGATGCAATTTCATCGCCTCTTTCCAACGGTGAAAATCGCAGCTCTCTACCTTGTTTCTGTCAAAAGTTATTCAAAGAATACCTACCCGCCTTTTTTTTTGAAATGGGCAGTAGTTATTTCTATGCTCGAGTTATTTACGATAGAATCAGGTTCGTTGACTTTTTGAATCTATAGTAGTGTATCTTTTATTTAAGCCCCCCCCTCTTAGAAAAGTCAATTTTTCGAAAAAAACCCGATTTTCAGATTTATACATATTCTGATAGCCCTTGCAATGAACTACCAGAGATGTCCATCGCGGCTGAAACTCTGCCGCTGCCGCGCCGCGGCATTAGAAAAAAAAATCACCGTGCCGCGATGGTTTATAAAAAAAGTCACCGCGCCGCGATGAGTAATAAACTTGCCGATGCCGCGATGGTTTTCAAAAAAGTGTTTCGATTTTCACTGCTGCAACTGTATTGGACCAGAAATATTGGTACTAGCCCATCAGATTCATTCAGTCTCGGGATGTTTCATTTGTAAACAATGAAATTCTATTAAATTCATGCAGTTTTTCAATGTCCTCGAAAAAATGCTGCCGCTGCTGCGATGAGCTTTTAACAACTCTGCCGCTGCCGCGATGAGTTTTTAAGAAACCTGCCGCTGCCGCGCCGCCACCGCCACGGCGGCAGCGGCAGCGGCAGCGCCGCCATGGACATCTCTGTGAACCACAGCCTAGCATAATTTGTTTTGCCAAAACGTGTACATTGGTCTTTTTTTGTGGCGAATTTTTTTTCTGAAGATGTGTTATTGAGCCATAAAGGGTGTTTCATAATAACTGAGAATACAGTGTTAATCATATTTTTCATACTTTTGTTTGATCGCGAGAGCCGAAATTTTGATGACATATATCACTAATCAAGATCTTTTAGTTCTGAAAGTTTCAGCTCTATAGCTATGACAAATGATAAAATATATCGATCCAAGTGAAATACATTAGTTTTCGCTCTCAATTCTTGCCTCATTTTTCAGCAAAAATCGAGTACGAAAACCTATGTATTGTATCATTTGTCATAGTTACAGAGATGAAACTTTCAGAAGTAAAAGATCTTGATTAGTAATATAGGTCATAAAAATTTTAGGTCTCTCGATCAAACAAAAGAATGAAAAAATCATTAACGAAAAAGTTGATAAAAACATGTGTGACATGAAGTGACATATATGTATAAGGAATCATGAACTCAATTTAGGCATGATATGTACCTCTAACCAAATTATGATATATTCACGTACATGCTATCAATAAAGCTTGAAGAATAGTGCGAAAATATTAGGTAGATAAGCAGATATATTTCGAATAGAGACACTTACTGCATCAAAAAACTTTGTTTTTCGTTTTTTCTCAAAATCAATTTTTTCAAGCATACCGTTTACGCGGGCAAGGTTTTCTTCATAATGACTCAATATAGAAGTGATGATTTTTTTTTAAAACATAGTAGACAGGTAGGGCTCGATCCTCCCAGAATCCGATTTTTGAATTCCTCTTTTAATGAAATAAAAACCATAGATATTTTATTTTTTAGTAGCAATTTTTTGGACATGATTTCGTGAATTTAACGAAAAAGAGTTTTTAAAAAACAAACCAAGGGAAATTCAAAAATCGGGCCCTGGAAGGATCTAGCCCTAAGGGTACTCTACAACTTGAAAACCGTCCGGGCTTGGTAGCTCGTATCGTTATTGTGAAATCCTTGCCCACGTACACGGTACTTTTGGCCAATAAATTGACTATAACTCATTAGTTTATTGGAGATTTGGGGGAGATATTTTAATCATAATCTTTCCTAGCCTAGAGTAACATCCTCTGAAATTTTGGTTGAAATCGGATGAAAAATAATTAAGTTGGCTTCTGAGGGGGAAGGGGGCGGCCCCCTTAACACAACAATTTTACTCTGTAAAGAGGTGACATTTGGTGCAGATCAATTATGAAATTTCAGCTATCTTATAGTAAAAATGGCATTTCAATAGTTCAAATTTTTCATGCAATTTTCACAAAGCTAGGTTATTTGTCTATTAGATATATGATTAATTTTTAGCGCCATTCTGTGTTTATGATGTGCAACAACGAAAAACTACATTTATCTCTTTCAGTTATATTTTGAGTGCAGCTTTGCTTATTTTTCTCATCATTTGAATATTGCAATATAATGATAACAATTAATATGTTTCGAATTTCAAGTATTTTATATTTTTTGGTTTTAATCCTTCGATTAAATGATGCTAAGCCTAGCGGCGAGAAATGTGAGTATTTGAGGTTCATTTATAATTAAAAGAATTTCTATTGAAAATAGTTTTTCAAAAAAATCCAAAGCTAATTTCTTTTTTTTTGCTATAATTTAGACTATATGGATAAAATGTGTCGAAATGATTATTTTATTTTTGATGGTGATAAGATACCAGGTATTTCGCTACAATTAACAAGCAACAGTAAATATAAACCAAATTTTAATTGTACCGTGAAATTTCGTACAGCTCAACCAAGTCAACGATTGATTATTACAATAGAAATAATGGATATAACTGATTGTCCAGGTGACTCATTACGTATCTATGATGGTACAACATTACTTAATAAAGATTCTAAACAACAATGTGGTTCAGCTACTTCGTTTACTTTTACAGTATGGAATCTATTAAGAGTTATATTAACAAAAAAACAAGACTTTCGTATTGTTTAGAGTTCAACAACACAAGTATCAATGATATTTATAAGTAATTCAGCTGTTGAATCATCTGGATTTCAAGCTGCAATGGCACTTCATTTTCCAAGTATGATTCTATTAGTATAACTGATTATTTGATGATTATTTTTGAATTCAGTGATTGCTTCATGTCCGCAAAGTCTTGGTCTTTTTCAATGTAAAAACAGAAATTGTATATCAAAACAACTTAAATGTGATGGACTAGATCATTGTGGTGATGGAACAGATGAAAGGGTGTGCAGTATCTTTTCTGGTTAATATATTTCTTTTGTTTTGAGTCTATTTCTATAGCTATTATAGTAATAAAAACATATTTTTATTTCTGTACTTAATTCTTTTTCTGTTCATAATGAAAATAACAAGAAAATACACAAATGATTTGATTCATAATTAACTATTCTTTTTATTTTTTTTTAAATAAATGATTAGAAAAAGGTCGATGAGTTGAGGATGAATATGTATTTTATTATTATTTTTTGTTTGGAAATCTTTGCATGAAAAAATCGAGTTTTTTTTCGATAGTTCAACATGGTCTCTTTTCCTGAGAGTACACTTGTCATACTAAATAACTGATAATTTTTTTCGTTTCGTGCTGATTGTAAAACTAATATGCTTACATGTATCATAAAAAGCTGAGTCTGTGAAATTAATTTGTAGTACTATTCAAACATATTGTCGTCATAAAATGCATCCGATCGTTTAATCAGCGATAGGTGAGATTTGTTCCTGTCGGTGAGGTTTTTGCGCTGATATTTTTGTTTAGTGTCATAGTATATCTAACTTTTATATTCAATTGGAATCGCCAGACACTGTACTTATAAAGTACAGCTTTTGTTTTCCAAAATATAACTTTGTTGGAGAAAAAAAATCGTTCAACTCTGTTTCAGAATCCTACAACATGAAGTTGCGCTAGTGATGCGAGTTTGTCTTATTTCTTATTTCTAAGAACTGTAATTTTTTGACGATTTTGGATCCCAGAAGAACGCCACAGATTTTCTTGAAAAAACTTAAATTAAGCAAACATTTTGAAATGAACCATAATCAACTCAAATTTTTGTGTTGATTCCTGACCTACCATTTTAATCACAAAATGGCCCAGTTTAGATGAAGAAAACCTCGTATAACTTGCACAATTTGATGTTGTAGATGCCCTAAGTCAGAGTTGAACGATTTTATCATAATCTACTTGTCATGTTTCTTAATTTTAGTTTGATTAATTGATTCTAAATCCTTTTTCTGTTGAAGATTTACCACTGATTGAATTCTGTTTCTCTCTTGATCCTTATACTTTGGGTGACATGGTGATCTGGCACGAGAAGTTCAATGAAAATATTTTTGAACAAAAACCAGATATCTTTCACAAGTTGAGTATCTTAGCATTGTTTTTATTTTGTCTATGTTTCACCAATGTTCAGTTCGTAAAGTCTTAATCAGTAATGAAACTTTCAACGTATGCAAGTACCTGTGAAATTGTCAATAACCACAGACATCACCAACTCTGAAAAAGGATAGAGTTCGAAATTGATATTATTCACACATTGCTACTACGTCGTGCGTTTTTTGATTCAGCTGAAGGATAGCCTTCCTTTTAGATACAAACAACCATCATTACTTTTACTTTTACTTATACAAGGCCTTAGAGTGAAAAATCGGATGGTCCAGAAGACATAAATAGCTTTTTATGCGAAATTTTACTATTTCTGTGATGTTATTAATTTCCATCTAAGTTCATGTTGAAAGATATATACCGTAAAATTCTCTTCAAACATTCTATATAATGCTTTATTACAAAGTATGAGAAGAGAAAGCTACACGAAAAATATTCAAGGTCTCCGAAGCTATCAGCTTTCTAAAGCACGTGTAGCCATCCCTTAACTTTTTGCTAAGCGGTGACAAAAGTATAAGCATATATGAAATTAAATTTTCTAATGCTATGACGAATGCAGACCTAGTCTTTATAAAAGAAGTGATGCAAAAAGTTGATTCTAGATGCAATAATATCATACATTTTTAATAAATTAGGAATTGATAATGAATTGACTTTGATTCGTTTTTATTGCAATCGATTAACTACCAATTGACAATCGATATAAGATTAATGATTTTAGTCATTTAAAATGAATCTTTTCTGACTTTTACATGAATTATTTTGTTACATGAAAGTGTGTCCGCAGTTTTTACAGGTAGGCATTGTAGCTGTCTCTTTAATGAAGTTACTTGCTTATTCAGAACGATGCCAATTTTCGCCGAGCGATTTTGACTAGAAATCGATCGTTCATTAAAGAAATCGTTTTCTAAGTGAACTGAAAACTATGCTTTTTTAATATTTCGGCTGACTAGAAGTACCTTTGAAAATGAACAGTCTTTGTTCTTCCCTTAGTTTCACATGCTCTCAATTACAAAGAAGCATGATACCTTTGCTTAATTGGAAAGCTGACAATTCTCATGGACTTTTCAATGTAGTCATGTAGATTGAATTGAGTGGCTAATAAGACTTTTTATGAAGATTACTACTTTTTTCTATGGTATTTATATCATGATATTGACGTGAAAAACATACACAGGCCTAGACAGGCAGGCCAGGCCAGGCCGAGGAAATCAGAGAACAGACAAAGGCAGGCTAGGAGAGGTGTAAGCTTGTCACAGGCAGGCCAGGCCTTCAAAAAGTGGGCCTGTTTGGACCTCTGATACCTATTTTAACTTTGATTTTTAAAGTTAAAGTATTAAAGTATTCATACTTTAACTTTAAAAGTTAAAATCAGACTTAAAACTTTAACTACTTT